TATACTCTACTATAATATACTATGCTATACTATACTATACAATACTATACAATACTATACTATACTATACAATACTATACTATAATATACTATACCATAATATACTATACTATAAAATACTATAAAATACTATAATATACAATACTATAATATACTATACTATACAATACTATACTATACAATACTATACTATACTATACAATACTATACTATACTATACTATACTATTCAAAAACAACTTATTGATCCCAGTGAAAGTAGACATTGTAGTGACTCCTTTAATTAAAGAGTTATTGTAGATGCTGAAGGCTGTGGGCAGGGAAGATCAACCAAAATGATGAAGATGTTTAAAGCTGAAAAACAAATGTGAGAAAATAATATTTTCAGTTCGTCACTTGCCTAATTTCCTAATTTGCCTAAAATCTTTGATTCTGTTCTTGTCCATACTTTTCACTGTTCACCAGGGAGTTTCTTTCTCTTCCTTAAAGAAATGTCGCCTGTGGTTTAACAGGCCGTTTCCTGAACATCAAACTGCATGACACCGTCACAGCTTGAGGCCTGGACCTCCATGTGTCCAGTTAATGACGTGCTCTATAAAGAATGGCAGCTATGAACACATGAAGTCAGACCTGTTGTAGGAGCTTTATTAGACCTTCTGGTTGAGTCGTTCCTTTTTACAGCGTGTGGTGACAACCTCCTCAAACTCAACAAACCCCAAACCCCAACAAGAATCACTCCCAGCAGCTGCTCATGTTTTTCTCCAACAACAACAGCTCAGAGGAAACTTTGAGCTGAGAAAAAGCTGCTTTTTGCTGCATGTTTGTGTGGAGAAGAGGGGCGAGGCAGCTGGCTCTTTGTGTCAGAGGTAATGAAACTTGTTGGAAACAAAGAAGAATTGTGTTTTCATCTGCTGTTTTCTGTTTGTTCTGCAGACAACTATGGTGGATATGAGAACCAGCTTTTCAAAGGTAACAATCAGAGCTTCAGCTCAGGCCTTCTGTTGTTTTAACTGATAAATAATGTTTGACAGCAAACACACCGACAAGACCAGGAAATACTAAGTAACATGAGTATAAATCACTGAGTAAAAACAATAATTCAGCCTCTTTAACTCAACATTCATTCAGTTTCTGTTTCATCAGATGAAGACTTCACTGCAGAGGAGGAGGAGCCTTCTTTTAGAGGTAAACATTATCATCTATCTATCTATCTATCTATCTATCTATCTATCTATCTATCTATCTATCTATCTATCTATCTATCTATCTATCTATCTATCTATCTATCTA